CGTCAGCAACGATGAAACGTCACAAAATGTTGCCATATTTATTAAAAAGCCTTTAGAATGGAAACCTACCAAATCCCTATATTCCGTCACTTTGTGTGGCAANATATTTTTCAAATGTTTGAACCTTCACAACTAGCTATACCATAACTAAAAACACTTAGTAAAGTACCATGTGACGAGAACAAGTGTTCACCGAGGCTTCCATGATATATTATTAGAATTAAAATGTCAAAGTTGATTTAATCAAATGAATAATGATTTTTTGGTAAAAATGAATAATTTAGTTAAAGATTGCTGTCTCTGAGGTATTGCCGTGACTTGGTGGCAGCGCTAACAATGTTGTTTTGATCATTTAGAGCTGTCCATTCCCTTGAAGATATCCTCTCACTAACATGAACCTTGTTTCAGCTGTAGCTTATATAGGTAACTATTGAAGACTTCTCTGCGGAATTCATATGATGTTACTAAGTGAAATATAGTGTGATGATAAATCGTTCTTATCGATATCTTCAACTTACAGTTTGAGTTGGAATTCTATGATGCAATTATTTATTACTTTACTGACAGCGGTCATGAATCGTTTCTCTGCACACAATTTTTCCCATCTAAATGCTAGTTTTTAACGCCTAATTTGCCTCAGATTACATTAGCAAAGAAAATTCAAGCAGAGTGTGCTGCTAATGGGGTTAATTTCATATTACATTTATGGGAAACCATGACCATTCGAGCGCTTGTGCCGCAGCCTTTTTGATCACAAGTTGTCTATAGTGAAGCTTTCATTTGACACCACTTCGCTATTACATTGGTTAGTACGGTACATGTGCTGTCTCTTATACACATCTAGATGTGTATAAGAGACAGATCGTAATCCATCCAACGTACCGGAAACCTTACTTTTTTCTAAATAGTTGGCCAAAGACTGAGAAATATATTAAATGCAAGAATTTCAATCTAAATGTGTCGGCAAGATCTTCTGAAGGTGAAAATTTGGCTACTGAAGTGTCGCCAAAGATCTTGCAATATTCATCCACTCTCTGCACAGTGGCCTAGCGACACATCTTGAAAATGATTGGCGATGTTTTGGGCTGAAAAAACCATATATTGGCAACACTGCATCCACCCTCCCCCTCTGCACCCTGGCCTGTGGGCTGTAATGGACTTGGCAGTCAGCAATCACATTGGCATTTGCAATGCTTTGGCAGTCTTTATTTTTTCCAATTTCTTGTACCTTAGCAGCCTTAGACTGTTAGACACAATGATAGCTAAGTCATTTAGTGTCATAGGCTCGTAGCCTATTATTATATACTATAGGATTCCATAAGTTCCATTATTCCATAGACTCTACACTCATCCCAGTCCATATTTTTACTTACAGACTACAGTCTACAGATATGCTTTCCTATCCACAACAATAGCGGCTATTGTTGTGGGTGCTGAAGTTTGCTGGAGTACAAGTTATAAACACTAAAATGGTTTTGAGTGTACCAGTTTGAAGTTTGAACTGTCAAACTCAAAGTGTAGATTCGTCAAGCAATATGTTTATTGTGTTTAAGCATAAGAAAAACGAAAAGCATCTGATCAAGTGATCATAATGTACTAAATTAAAAAAAATTAGAGTGCACATAACGAATAGCAGTTGACCAGATTGCAAGGCTCCGAATATAATAAGAACAAAACTTCTACAGCCGAATTACAACGACCGTTGTGAGAAATGAAAGCGTGTTGGACCGTCACTTAGACGCGTTCAACAGTAAGCTGCCGACTGCTTCTTTGCACGTATAACGAAACAACGGAATTTCTAGAAAATGCATAAAGTTGCAGCCTGAATTTTTTATTCAAAGAAATATCTAAACAATAAATAGCTTTAAAGATATTCCCTTATGAATGGAGATAACTCCCTTTTGAGTAAATTAGCTAATACGTCTTACGAGCTTGTAAACATTTATTGTTAGAATTTAAAAGACTAAAAACTGTTGGGTATATATAAACCGTTTTTATAAAGACGTGTTATAAACAGTTTTTATCATATCTGTACGCGCTTTGACGGCTTTGTTCATTTTGAATGAAAGTCACCAGAAATAAAAACAGTGAGCAGAAATTATGATTTCTTGCAAACAATTTTTCTTAGACCGTGAAACAAGCATTGTTAGCAGTTTCGGAATGCATAAATCATTAAATTTTGAGTGGTTAAGAGCAAAGAGTGTAGTATAGAGAAGCAGCATTTTAAATGCTGCAAATGCACGTGAGAGGTGTCGTCGATCAGTTCCTAACTTCCTATATTGCAGTTGTTATTACATCTTGGATTGCTATGCAGGATCTACACGACCTCACTCCTCAGTTCGCAACAAATTTAATTCTTCTGCTTGATCTGACTCCAGAAGATCTTAATTTAATAATTAGTCAGTCGACAAAAATAAAACTGCTGCAAAACTAACTTACACTAATCTGAACTGATAGAAGAAGTAGAATAGAAGTGTCGGCGCTGAAGAAATAGGCCCATGGCCTGTTGCAAAACTGATTTACACTACTTATTTCCTTTATTTCACTCAAACCTTCAACGCTCCCCAGAAGTTGACCATCGAATTAACAATCGTCGCTTTCAATGTTAAATTTCGCCATCGTGAAAATCTATTTCGATTTGAAAGAAAAGCTGCTGGCGGTAAACGATCTATGAAAACGCGCTGCACTCGAAAATGTAGAGCTCACAAATAAATATTAGACTTTCAAAATATCTAACAAAAATTGAATTAAACAAACTCTAAAATTACAACGAAATGAAGTCTCACAGTAGTTATGCGTTAGAGGAGACGAGAAAAAAAAAACTTTCTCATATTACATTTAGCGCCTTTATCGTGTCTTCTATCATATAATAATCTACTAACAGAATACAAATGTTCGAGTTGACACTTCATTGTATGTTGGTAAGCAAAATCTTCCACCAATGATTCGGTGCGTAAAATTCTGGAGCCACATCACACCAGTATACTTTTATTGCACTCTGTTAACAGTATAAACAGTTTTTTTTTGTGTTTGTATTTCAGTTCAAATTTGTTAAACATCTATCAGTACCGCATTTCGTTTTGGATAGATGATATTCATTTCTATCGCCCAGACCTTATTGAAAATCATAAATTTATTACACGGCTGGTTCCCAGCTCTTCAACGAAAATATTATACTGTTGCCTGCTGTAAGTTTGGTGTTTAATAAAACTTGCAAAATTAGTGATAAAATTTGCCAAAGGACCAAAATGTTTTAAAATGTATATAGTTTCCGGGAGACCAGCGAAAAAAACACTAGGCAGACTAAAAACACAAGGCGTAGAAGTGTTATTCTTATTATAAAATAGGCATTAAACCCAGGAGTGAAATCGGATACATTGAGTAAAAAATGATAATTTATTGGATAAAATATCGAGTATGAATGAAGAACAAAGGCGAAAAAAAATGATTCCATTCAAGAATCAATGTTGTGATTCAGGTATAATTCGAAGTTATCCCTCGACATTTCCTGCAGCAATCGCAACTACTTCGAAAAAAGCTCCAGCAATCGAGTCAAGAAATTGACGCCTCAGACCACGCTCTTCTTATGAGCCAACAATCTAACAGCAAGAAGGCAAGAGTATTTTAATCAAGGAAGAACTGTCAAGAAGTAGTTAGAAAAATCACGGCCAATCAAGAACAACGAAGAAGAACCACAAGATTGTTCCTTATTCTTATATAATCATTCCCTGAATTTAATTGTTATGCTTCAATTGCTTCTTTCGATGATTGCGAGACAAAAGAATTCAGTGCAACAGAGAGACCAAGCGCTCTGAATGCTTGTCCCGGAAGATCTTATATCCTCAGCTGTGTTTGTTCCAATTGTGGTCCCTTCCTGTCTACGTTTCCAGAGCTCAGAGGTATCGCAATAGCAGTACGGATAATCAATGGTTAACTAAAAATCAATTCAACATTCAACATTGCTTGAATGAGGTCGCAATGTTTCGCCGTTGGCTTATCTTCATAGCACAAAATTTCTAACAATAATTTTATATTCCTTCATTTCATGCATAAAAGTTTCACTCAAAGGATTGATGCTATCATGATTGAACTAATACTTTATAGCTCAAACATGAATACTATTTCCACAATTGAGTTCAACCGAAATCAACTAACTTCCAGCATGCAGCAGAACTGTTCTCTCCGTAGACTTGCTTTGAACCTGCCGTAAGGGTTTTTGCGATATAATTAGATTTAAATATTGTCGACCCGAAACCAAATATGTATTAGTCGTACACAGACAGAAATGAAATACATACGGTAAAAATGATTTAAAATGGTAACGGAGTGCAATAAAAAAAAAAAACCGTTGAGCGACGTTAAAACTGTGCGCGAATGTGTCGGACTGGTGCACTGGAAAAAATTCGTANTCGTAATAGCTTTAGCCTTCGAGTTTGATGGTCACAGTGTGCATTGTAAAAAATATAACTCAGTACTCACTGCATTGAGTGACAGAGAGCGCATTTCCCGTCGACAAAAACGTGAAGTCACGGACGGAGAGGCAGACAGACGGACGGACAGACGGACATGGCGAGCACAATAGCGCGTTTTTCCCCACAAATGAGAAAATGCTCTAAAAAGTAATTTTACGAATGCCCTAAAACCATTACCCAGATTTACCACGATTCAGAATTGTCAAAGATAAGTAACCAATCATCTTATCGGAAATGGATCTCGAGAAACTGTTGCTTCCCTTATATTTATAAAAAATGCATTGAAATATAACTTGAATGAATAATCAGCTAAAGTTCGCAAGGCAAACGCAATAAATTAGGAGTGTTTTAACCCAAGTTCTATATCTTCCCGTCAGCGCGACATTTTGGTTCATGTGATAAATATACTGCAAAGGCGAACGCAAATAGAAATGAAATCATAATCTAGAATTTGACCGAAAAAACTATAATTATATACGATTATACGCAAATAGTAGTAGTAGTAGTAGTGGTAGTAGTAGTAGTAGTAGGGAGAGGTTTCTAGCGCTTCAGATCAGTGTAGTCTATTTCGCGCCGAAGGTCCGATATTCGTTTTGCAGGGTCAGGCTTCTTCGTTGGTTTCAGGCTCGTAGCCTGCTTCATCTGGTCTAGGGTGTATGCTTTTCTATTTCCAAGGCGCAGGTTCTATCCTAGATCGTCTGAGGTTGTCAGTCCCAAAGATGCTTCGGGGAACTTCTCTCAGCATCTTAGACAGCATTTCATTTGGGCTTAGGGCAGTAGTGTTGGGGTAGTAGTTTTGCCGGGTATCACTGTGGCTCTGGCATTCCGCCATAACATGCAAGACCGTCAGGGGTACCAAACAATCCTTGCAATACGGCATAGGACGGCGTTCGATCAGATAGCTGTGAGTGAGGCGCGTGTGGCCAATCCTTAGTCTGCACAGCGCTACCTCCATCTTCCGGGATTTCTGGTAAGATGAACTCCACGTTCGTACACAATCCTTGATTGTTCTTAGTTGTTCTCTCTCACGTTCAGCCAGTGTTTCTGCCAGATATGGCGGATACTTGCCTTGATGATAGGGTAGTGGTCTCGGCAAGGGACCTGCTCGCTATAGATCGCCTGGTTCATCCGCCCTCTCGTTGCCTCGCACCCCCACGTGTCAGGGCACCCAGCAGACGATCACCGCTCTCCCCGCCCCCGCCAGGCGCACCAGCCCGGTTAGGATCTCCCAGACGATGGGGTACCTGCTATTATAAGCTCTCAAAGCCTGCACCACACTTTTGGAGTCTACAAATATTGTAAAGTCGTCTCCGGGCAGTTGGTCTATGAGGCTAAGGGCACAGCTGACACCGACCAGCTCGGCGGTGAAGATTGACGAGCTCGAACTGAGTCGTCTTGACACCGCCGCTGCACATCCCACTGCGCCGTTCGTCTTAGAGCCGTCGGTGTAAATATGCGTAGAGTTTGCATGCTCTGGAGATGCATGTTGGAGAAAGAGGTTTCTCATCTCGGTTGGGTGTGAGCTTTGCTTCCGTGGGTAGTTTTGGTCCGGGCAGAATGTGTTGATTGGGATGCGCCATGTAGGGGTATCCTCAAATATGGCTGGTATGACTTCTAGTACATGAGCCTGCGTTGCTGCAAGCAGTGTTTCATAGTCTTCGGATGACGGAATATTGTACGGAAAATTGTTTGGTCGATCTTCAGTTATAACGCTGCGCCATGTTGGGGATTGAGGTAATTGCTTGAGACGGGCTATCATCTGTAGAGTGAGCTGTATTCGGCGGAGATAGAGTGGAGGTTCACCGCTCTCTGCATATAAGCTGAGGATGGGTGATGTTCTGAAGGCTCCGGTGCATATTCGTATAGCTGAATTATAGATAGAGTCCAGTACAGATAGTGTTTCTTTATTGGCGTATTGGTATATAATGCAGCCGTAGTCTAACTTAGATCTGGTTGTGGCTCTGTAGAGGCGTAACAGGGTTAGTCTGTCGGCTCCCCATGTCAGGCCGGCCACGTGTCTCAGCAGATTCCATCTCTTTAGGCAACTGCCTTTCAGAGCCTGTACGTGGGGCTTCCACGAGAGCCTGCAATCGAACGTCATCCCGAATAATTTAGCTGTTTGGGATAGAATAATCGGTCTGCCTTGAAGGGACAGTTGAGGAGGCTGTTCAATGGAGCATGCGCGTTTGAAGTGTATAGCGGTCGTTTTTTTCGTAGGAAAAGGCAAATACGCAAATAGAACTGGCCAATAGAGCTGGCAAGGTTCTCAGCGTACCTCGGAAACGCTCAGACGAGCAACGATTATTTTAAAAAATTGATATAAATCAAATTGTTTTTGCCACACAACACAGTTAACACGCAAGAATAATTGGTCATGTACGAAAAAAGCAGGAGAGGTATAAACAAATTTAATTAAAATCCAAATGAAGCGTTAACTTCAGAGGCCGTGCCCTGAAAAATCATTAAGTTGCTTCAAAGCTTCTTAAATTTTCAGCGGCAGTGTCATCATTATGGAACTAATATATTCAGGGAAGACAGCAAGAAGGAAGAGAGAGTTTTCAAGGAATTAAAATTACGAATAAGAACAAGAATTCAGAGGTAGTCTCGTACAGTGAACAAACTCTGCTTTGTTAGCATGGAACTCATGATACGCTGCCAGAGTACCATGATAGTTGCTTAGATGTAGCGCATACTATTTGCCAGATAGAAATGACATTCTGAGATATTAAAGACAATACATGCTGAAACTTAAAATTATTTGTTGATGGCGAGAAAGTAACAAATTATAATTTTTGTTGGCACGATACCTAGGAGCTAAATTTTTTCATGCAGAGATTCGACCTCAGAACTCAACTATTATACAAATAATACGCAACAAAAATTTCACATTTATCAACTCTAAGCAAAGATAAGGAGAGGAGAAGCCGTTTAAATTATTGAACAAGTAAGAGCTCAGTCAGGTCAGTAAACTGCCTACGAATGGAACGGATCTTCAGTGGACTGCCAATACCAATTTGAGTCAAAACCTAAGAACGTATATATCACAGATATAAATTGAACTAAACATGACCGTTGTCTCCTGGGAAACACACGGCAAAACTGTCGCACCCACCACTTGCAGGGACAATTAACAGTATCGTAGTAGTTTGCCAGCAAATGACAGCAGATGAATGCATTAAAACAGTGAAACGCTAGGCGCTGCCGCGCTAAAAAAATATCGTGGGCAAGCTCATCTATCATTTAAATAAAAATTTACACTGGAACGAGCTATATAATTAAAAGCATAAGCATCTGTATGATTACTGATGTCGGAAATTGGTCATCAATTTGTAACTAGTTCCTTTAAAAATACGCGTGCATTGGAGCTATGGAACAAAGCAACAAATTAAGAAGTTTTAAACTATAAATAAAGTCCAAATCAAATCGTCAAGAAAGAAGACTAGTAAATAATAGTTATATTCAAGTATTTATCTGTTGAGCGTCGATTTTAACCTATCATTTTTTCACTAAAATACGGAATATCTTATACTAAACTTGGCCACCAAATTATTTAACTCAATATCACAACCACTCTTGAGATTTGTGACATGCCATAATTAAAAGTAAAGTCAAGAGTTGCAGCCGACCAACATCGCCTTGATCCGTTCAAAAAGATAAGTTCCCAGATCAATTAATACAAACACTAAACGGCGTAAAAGTGTTCATTGGAAGATATCTTGCTTGATTCAAGGCTGATGACGTAGCCAGTCTTCCGGTTGCAATGAGAGCTTTGTGCCGACGCGACCAACTCCGAGCGTTACTTGGAAGGCTCGCAGTCTTCGCAGTACCACGAGTAACCACGACGCTTGGGGGTTTTCTTCAGGGGAGGTTCGAGGCAGTTGAAGTGGTATGCCTTGTGACATTCGTCGCAACTGCTGGATAGCAGTAAACATGAATCGTAAGCTTTATTGTAATAATTTTCCTTCTTCTGCTTAAGAACGTAATCCAAACCATAACCTAGAACACAGTGGAATAATTCGCACTAACCAATGTCGCAAATTAAATCATCAAACATGCATAACCTCGATCCAGTCAACAAACCAAGCCTACTTCCTAGTCAGTATGACGCTCTTCCATATCTCAAGATTATTCAATACAACACAACATCAAATAACCAAGTTAGTATTTACATTGAATTAAAGTTCTAAGTTGAAGAAGACATTAAGAGCAGTGGTGACTCACCTGACGGTATTGGTGACCCCGCCAGTCTCGCCACAAACGTCGCACTTGCTGAACTGCTGGCTGCACCCGGCGCTGCCGCCGTCGCTCTTACGACGAGAGCACGCATCACCCTTCACAGGAGCAAATAAATTCACATAAACCTTATATTCAGACTTTTAATTCAATCAAGTCTTCTCGCCAAATTGACAGAAAGAAAAAAATGCAAAAAAGTATTCTACGCTCTTCAACAAAACCTGTTCCTGCTCTACAACTAACATCAAAACCTGAATTAAATTTTGCGGAAGCAAAGCAGCACTGGAAGAAATTCCACTTACTAGTGCCTGTTAATTCAGAACTGGTAATAAATCAGAAGAGCTCAAATCATACTTTTTGTGTGCATTGTAGAGTCAAATTAATTATTACTGTGACCAAAGTTGTTAAAGTTAAAATCGCAAGAATTGAGGACCGCGCATAATCTTCTTGCATAAAACCCAGTCATTAGACAAGCATGGATCATCAGTACTTACACTTTAAGAGGAGTTAAACCAAGATGGTTGGAGGTAAACCTGCAGCAAGGTGGCTTGTGAAACAAAGACCACTCCAATACAATGTTGCACGAGCAGACCTAAAGTCTCACCATGGCTTTGATGCTTTTGTAGTGCATAGAATAACAGCCAATGCCTATTCTAATGCAAGATAATCAATGAGCAAGTTTTGAGATTGAAAAGGAAACAAACCGCAGTGGTTGGAGACGCAGAAGTTTTATCAGAGGAAGGACGCTGTAGCATGGGCTGGGTAAGGGTGTACCCAGGAGGAAGGTTCGGGTAGCCAGAAGGAGGGGGAGACACCCGACTGCTGCTCTCACTGCTACTGTTGCTGCTCTCGCTTGCGTGGGACGTTGCACTTGCCGGTGCGCAGCCCACTGTAAATAATGATGCTGTGAACAACAAGAGCCACGGCAGGATAACTGAAATATTAATGATTACATAAGACAATTATACTAAAATTAAAATTGTTGATGCCACGACTGCTGAAATATTACCGAGGCTGTAGATATTTGGTATAATCCACGGAACCAAAATATTATGGAATTAGACGGCACTTTACTAACCAGTTGAGGCAGCACAGGCGTCATCAAGACTTGAAGAGGATGAAGAGCGGAGCAAGACGTTGGCGGTGGAGGACGAGGCGTTGATTTCTATGATGGTGCAAGAGGGGGGGTCAGGAGTGACACCCTCGCTGGGACGCGGAGGCAGCGGTTTGATCTGGAACATTGTAGTAAAACTTGCATAATTCCATTTGTTAACTTAACAGAAGCCACATAATATATAACTTACTTCAGGTCACAGCAGGATAACAATCCTTTAGTAGCCCATTGGAAGAGATTGATTGCATCAACTCTACAGGGCGGGGCAGCAGTAGTCAGATCTGGTATAGTGGTAGGCGCACGCATGCAGACTGCCTGGTTCATTTCATGATTGAACTTGAAGTAAAGGGATAATTATCAACATGAGGCCATATATAACCGTGAGAAAAAAGTAGGCTTCAATAATCAAACCTGTCTAAGTTTTACTAATTGAGAATGTTTGCTAATGCACATTTTTTAAGAATTTAGTGGTACGAATTATGTATATATTCTGTTTTTATGCGAAGATAATAAACTCCAATAGGACAAGTTTATAAGGGAAAACTAATCTATAATTTGAAGTAAACAATGTAACTCGGGAATAAATAATTGATGGTTAGCGCATAAAAATAGCTCTAATGAGAAAGTGTATCGGGCTGTACAACATCCTCATCATACAAGGTTCAGCATCAGAATTTCACTCAAGAACAGAAGCCGTGTGTACAGAACATAGTTCAAGGACGAATAATTAGATTACTTGTCATGAATTTCAGACTTGCTGCTGATAAGTCCGACCGTATAGTCGACGTTACTTGAATGGGTTAGCGGCTGTATAACCGCTGATAGTCTGGTTGCTTCTCGGGTTGTCTGGCGTGGCCATTGCTTTGACGTTGGCCGTATAGGAATGTAGCGAAAACCTGGTCTTCATTTGTAGATTCTCTTACAGGGATCGTAGCTGTATCAATGAATGTGAATTTATTGCGATTGGTAATGTTCGGAAACGGGCTAGCGGACGGCCACCCGGCCGCGGGCCATCATGACAGAACAACCTTCGGCGCGAGAGAACAACCTTCGGCGAACAACCTTTCAGAACAACCTTCGGCGCCAGTTTTAGGGTTCTTATATAGGCTGCCACTACGCAATCTGGACTGATGGAATCCCCGACTGATGGAATTTCTCTCGCGATAGGCTCGCCAACCTTCGACGTAAAGAACGCTCGGTATCGAAAACAATCGTGCCACACACTACACCGTTTTAACCCACATTCCAGTAGCCATCTCAACTCCCTAACTCTAAATGAAATTTATAACGGAAGTAATCTAGTAATTTGCCCATGAACTATGTTTTATCCACGTGCAAAGACTAACAACTGCATATCATTAGTCAGCAATGCTGAGTTCAGTATGTTAGTTTTTGTGTATGATATAGACTTTTGTTGATCTTTTCATCAGTAGTTAATTCTGTGAAGCTGTCTCAACACTCGGGACAAACTTTGATTCAACACAAACTCACAACAAGAGTGACACTGAATTATTAACTTTACGGATGAAAACGCATAAATTTACTAAAAGATGCTTCTGATTTTTTTGGCATATTCCACCTAAAATTAGCCAACATTAACCACCTAGTGAACAAAAATAAATTTTAGAAAGCAAAAGTATATTTGAAACCCAATGAAAAATTGCCGGATTCAGAGAGCTTGGGAAAGGGCAATAATCCTTTAGTTTTAAGACTAACAACACAAAATAAAACTTCCGCACTTTCAGACTGAGACGCAGCCAACAATGCAATTCTTGACAAAGTATTGGACAAATTCATTTTCAGCTTTTAATCCAACTTAAAAATAATTTACAGAAAAAGATCATTTAGAAGTATAGAAGTTAAACCAAGGCTAAATAAAGTGACAACCTTGAGTCGTAGAGGAGCTAGCATCTCCGACGTCTGGTTGCTCTACCAGTACGAGGGGTGGTGCTTCTTGCGACGCTTCTCACCGCTCTTCTCTTTATCTCGCTCCTTCTCCTTCTTCTAGGATCCATCTCTGTGTCGCTTTTCTTTCCTGAAATTAGAAATTCCGATTACACATAAGTCTAGATTACAAATGAATCTCAAAAAATAAATGCACATCGTAAAATTATGCCAAATAAAACAAAAAAGCACAATCAGGGTTGGTGATTTTTTTTATTTTTTCATGATTTTTTTTATTTATTTGATTTTTTTCAGATTTTTTGTCTTTTTGAAGTGTTATTTTTTATGTTGCAATTAGCCTACTAACAATAACAGTATATGGATCATAATGGATGGCTAAAAAGGGCACTTGAAGGGCAACAGGCCTTCATTATTGAAGGCCTTCATTATTGAAGGCCTGTTGGCCTTCGATAATGGCCAACAGGCCAAGGTGATGTTTACCACTTAAGAATTTTTGGGTAACCAATTATTGATAAGTCTATTCATTAGCTTTGTAAAGTTTGTATGGAGCAAGGTAATGAGCTAAATATTGATCATTTAACTGGCTTCAATATACAAAAACACACTTCTGGAATGCAGATCTCCTAAACATTAAAGAGTCACATAACAGATAGGTAACTGATAGCACAGTGCACAGCACTATCAATAGATCTACTAGTTTTATGTCCTATAAATCTACCAGACTCTACCTTCTATACACTCCGACTAGTAGTGACTGAGTGACTGAATGCACTGTTCCCATTTAATTCAGACCAATAAACCAATACTAAACATAAACTGAACGATAACCAAACAAACCTCATACGACTTGAAACGAGACTTAAGTTATGAGAAAAGCTAACACTGTTTAAACTACTTATAGCCTTATAAGAATTAGCTAAACTGCTAGCTACGTACAATGTATTGCACACTTGATGCCTCTGTACCAAAAACATTCAATTTATTTGAACCTAATACACACTAAAGGCAACAAGTTTATATACCAATTTGTCATTCATAGTACATTTATGCTAAACCATGAATAACAATACCACAATATAAATTAAAGACCACCACTCAATATTTTTAAATATATGAAAAATCAAAAAAATAAAAAAAAATCATGATTTATTATAAAAAAATCAAGTGATTTAATCACATGATTTAATCATTGCCAACCCTGTGTTAGACTCCTGCAACACAGTGATGTTAGGCTCCTGCAACACAGTGATGTTAGACTCCTGCAATGCAAACAAAAATGTTACAATAATTCAGTAATTAATGTTACAGAAATTCAGCAATGCAAACAAGTCAACAAATCCCTTGCAATTATATCATCCGAAGTTTAATCTTGACGGTAACTTTATGAACAAAGTTATATCAAAGGAATAAAATCAAAGATAGCAGAAATGATCCCCTATTAAAAAGCACCATGTCTTCAAACTACAGCTGTATCTAGGGTTTTGAATCTTATAGACGTCGACAAAATGATATTTTGACCTAAAAATGTGAAAAATTGCCAAATAAAGTTATCTATTTGCAATTAAATTCGAGTTAGATCCTATTAAGCACCCATTTGTTTGTAGAGAAATATTCTAAGTATTTTGGTTGCAACAAGTGGCGAGTTGTTTCAAGCCAGCAAAGGTTGGTTTGGGAATAGCCAAAATAGAAGTGGCATACATCACATAGCTAGGCAATGATGTGGCAATCCGCCAGGGAGCAGATAACTTCACTCATATCAATTTCTCATTATTTTAAAAGGAATGAATACCACAGGAAAAAAACTACCTAACATTCCTAGGCTTAAGAGATGAAATAATGTACCTAGTTCATTTCTTTTTGGATAAATTCACATGGTTCTCAACCAACTTGCAGAACTATTTGACAAGGTACCACTGTACCTCATAATCTATTTCCAGACAGGCAAAGAGTGGGTTCTCGAAGCCCACGTCAACACCCACAACGTGATACACGAGAGTGTTGCTCTTGTGCGCCTCCAGGGGCGACGAGATGGTCAGACGTGCCTGTCCGTCCCTGTTTAGGATGTACACAAGCTTTTGCTTCTCCACAGCACCTGCAATAACACCACATGTAACTATGATATATTTACGTCAGAAACTAATAGTGACAGGACTCTGAATATAGGGAAATGAACACGCCATGTCTAGGTCTGGCATACTAAGTAAACACTAGGTAATTCTCCTGCTATTTGGTATACAATATTGAGCCGCCACAAGTGTGCACGCAATCATTTGAGGTTAACAGAGGTATTACATCAAATTCTCCTATGCTTTCATTGCTTTGTAGTTCAAAAAGACAGTAGACGAGCCATTTGTTAATTTGTTCTTTATTGCATAACTGATACAACATAGTGATGATTGCAAATGTTTAGATAACAACAAAAAATAATAGGCATATATTGAGGTACAGCAGTATAATGGCACAATCAATAACCATAAATAGACGAGTTGTCACTTTAGATAAAAAAGCCATGTTCACAGCTGTGACAGAATGAAGGTATTCCCTCTTTGCTATTATAGTAAATGTGAACACCTCACCTATCATGACAGCACGCCCCTTGGGGTCAATAGCAAGGTATTGGCCCGGCACAATGCGGCGGCAGCCACTCTTGCCAAAAGTTTCCAAGTGTATTCGGTCGAACTGATTCTTGGCAGCATTGTATTCAAGGATAGAAATACGGCCTGAGTCCGATCCAACCACAATGTAGTCTGAAAGGGAAATTGAATTTAAATAATAACCAAAATGTGTTTAGTCATGTAGAGAAAATTATGTGGTACTTGGAACTGAGCTATATACATGTCATACTAAGTAGGTTTCATTGAAGACCAGAGGTTTTATTGACAATTTTTTTTAGTTTTTTCAATACCATACATCGCATAATATTTTTTTGTTACACTGGTAAATCAAAACACTGTTCACAAAATAAAAATGTACATCGATCGTGATTTTTGATTTACCAGTGCAAACAGAAAATATTGTTTGATGTATTGAAAAAAAAATAAGAAAATTTCCAATAAAACAAATTTTCTGGTCTTCAATGAAACCTACTCAAAGGAACAAATTCTGCCAATCTATACTAATTTCATCAGTCATGCTTATGTCAGTCAGTGTTAATTTACGTCAGTCAAGTATATATGTCATACCGGTACTAAGAAGCATGACAGTGCAACTCTTTCCTCATAACATTTGGTAGGAGCTATAGTTATATTAATCATTCAGGCTTTAAAATACCTAAGAAAAAATAGGGAAAAGAATATATACCTATTTTATGCACTACAAATTAGGCAATTAGGCAATGTATAAATTTATGTTTCACTCTAATGGCATTGACTTCATTTCACTCTAATGACTTTGACTTTATTTGCCAAGATAAAATTATCAGAATTCAGTCCAATATTTTAATAATTATCTAAAAATACAAGAATAAGTAGAACTAATATTTAATTAAAAATTTAACTGGTGACACTCATTTTCATTTAACTTGACAACTTGTCATGGCCATAGAGATATAAGATTCAAATTACTCGCAGCAATAACAATCAATGGTATGCCACAAACCTTTACTGCCTCCAGTGAGCCTGAAGGACATGAGTGAGCGCACAATCCCAAAGATGTCTGTAGTTAGGATGGTATGTACCTGTGAAGTTAGTAATAGAAGAATAGAATAGTAATGCACTTGAACATATTAGTAATAGAAGATAACATATTGAACATCTGCGGTATATATATCTAAAGTTCTTCCATGATTCCAATGTGAAAAATCCTCAGATCAACATTTCATTAAATTTGATTTTACCAGATCCAGGTTTCCAGACTGGTATTTTGAGATATAGGTATACTAGTTATCATTTGATTTTATCTATGTATAAATACTCATTTTTTTAACAAGAACTTCTAGCCCTACTATTTGAACTTACAAACTGCAGCTAAAATGATTTTTCTAAGTTAGGTATGTTTTTGCAAACTGCTAAAATGAATGTTTTGATGAAAAATTAAAATAATTGCAGAAAATGTCATAAATTCACCTTGCCAGTGTTGGGGTCTGGCCTGAGGAGCTCCAGAGAACGGCCCCGGGACACAACCAGCTCTTGGCTGCGTGACCCGGAGAAGTTGCCATGCACGGCATGCGTGATGCCAGAGGCACGCTGAAGAGTTAAATTATACAAGAACATCTAATCTCTATTCTGCAATGAAGAATTATTAAATGAATGATATAATAGAAAGGAATCTCATGTTTAGTGCAAGTTTATACCACTGCATGAATTGTTATGAAATGGCAGGAGTTGGATAAAGTTTGTCCCAAGCAAAAAACTTTCCATGAATATTTTGTGTTACTTGGGCCACTGTTGTTATTGGGTATGCTGAATGTGATAAAAAAAATTAGATATACAGGTTTGATTGAAGAACAGGGCATACTCTTTATTAACAATTTTCTTATTGTTATTTTCCAAAGGTACTACTGTAGATATGGTTCAAAATCCAAATGTAAAATTAATCTAAGAACAGCTTCAACAACTTGACAAATCTAGTGGTTTGCAAATTGATAGCTGGAGACTCATCCTTGATGAGAGCCTCTGCTATTGCCAGTCTTGTAGGATTGGGGGCCACAGTCCTCAGCCACGGCATATATTGCAAAACTAAAAATGGTAGTGGCCTAAACTTCAGCATTTTTCCTATCTAGGTAGCATAAAGGAACTTAAGAAATCATAGATTCACTAGCTCTAAAAAATTGTTGAAAAAAAATTGAAAAGTGATATTTCAAAAAGGTACTACTGCTAAGGTCTGTAGTAAAAATATATAACTCAGTACTCACTGCAGTGAGTGACAGAGAGTGCATTTTCTTGTCGACAAAAACGTGAAGTCATGGATGGACAGACAGACGGACGGACATGGGGAGCACAATAGTGCATTTTTTCCATAAATGAGAAAATGCACTAAAAATATTTTGCTTGAAAAAAAAATTGCAGACAGGTGTCAGCTTTAAAACTTCATTGACAAAATTTTACCTCAATTTAAAACAAAATGGCAACCATTTCTGAATGACGTGGTATTAAGAGACAACCCTTAATATGCATTTAAAATAGAACCTTGGTTAGCAAAGGCTCCAGTTAATGAAAAAATCAATTAACAAAGAATTTTGATTACATTTACCTTGCTCAGCAAAAAAATTTACTTGACAAAAAAATTAATGCATCATTGTTTATTGCAAAATTGTGCATAGAATGTCATAGATAGAATTGTGCACCGCGTAACTTAAAATGAAAAATAATTAATATAAACTATGATTTATTTCTCTAAAAAATATGATGGTGGTCACTAAAATAGTTCTTTCTTTGCCAGGTATGTTTTTACAATCTTTTTCTGTTATGATGAATTCAATTGACCCAATTAAAATGGTGCAAAATTACAAGCCCAGTCCTGTAAGCTTACAGATACGGAAGAAATGCTATAGGGCTGCTGATATGAAGCTTGCAGTGGACAAGGTCATTGTAAATTTTCAATGGCTGTTCATGGATATGGTAATATCACATCAATAATATGGTAATGTATGGATATGGTAATATCATATCAATGAAGGAAAAACAAGTAAAAATCACAAAAATATCATTTATTCGACATCTACATCATCTACATAGGTAGAGGAGGACTTCAGGGTACATACTGTTAGTAATGGATGAGTACACTGTGCATGTTTCAAACATTTTAAACTAAAGTTTAATTTCAAGTGTCCTGGATTATCCCTTTTCCCAATAGTAATTTGGGACCCTTTTGTGTCTGGCACCTTATGAATAACATATGGAATTTTTTCTAAGATGCCATACAATAGCCCTTGCAAAATAGCTTTAAAATGAGCCCAAACTTCTTTATGAAATGTTCATTGGTAAGGAGTTATTAACAAAAAATGCTCAAAACCATCCCTTATTACCAGGGTTGGTGATTTTTTTACTATTTTTTCATGATTTTTTATTTATTTGATTTTTTTATTTTTTCAGCTTTTTTAAATGTTATTTTTTATGTTGCAATTAACAAACTAAAAATAACAGTATATGGATGGCTAAAAAGGGCAGTTATTTCCTCCAAGAATGACACCGAATTATACCATGGCACCAAATTGCAAAATGCAATTCAGACAATAAAATGCATTTCTTCAGTTCACCAGCCATGAAGGAAGGTCAGGCAGCAAAGTCCTTGACGTGCCGCCACAAGACATCAACGAGCATAGGTGGCAGCAATTTGTCATTGGACTGCCACATTTGAAACTAAACAGAAAGTATTTGTATACTCCATTCATTTTGTCTCTGGTATAGATTATCTTTTTAGTGGTACCTCTTTACTTTAGTCATATTATAACCATGGTACTTCCTTTTTTCTTTGGTCTTGCTTATCATGGTGAACTTGATTCTGCACAAGCAGTTTTCTTTCCAAACCAATAGTAGGTTTATTAATTTACAGTTTACACGTTGCTGTGTTTTAGTGATCTTAAGTAGCAATAATGTTGTTACCAGGGGTATTCTTAGGGCAGACCAAGCTGATGAGTTTAAGCTTACAATTGCTTTTTTTTTTCTATTTCATTTATTCATTGTTTTCATGCACTGCAAACATGGTTATTATTTGTCATATTTCATGAATTTATATCTAATTTGCCCTATGTTTTTATCTCATTTCAGGTATTGAATGACCCCATAAACTTGCATGCCTAATCTTGAGTTAGCAGAAAATCCTGAAACTTGCGCCACCATCACCAGTTGGTGAGTTGGCTGTTTAGTCTGCACTTGATTAACCCTTTAGCGGGCAAGCATTGAAATATCCAGAAATTAGAATTTCAGTAACAATTTCAAGAAAGTAAGAAGTATTATACAATATATTTATTTCTATGAATTTTTGCAAATTTTGCCTATTGAAGGTTTAAATCGCGCTTGAAGAATTCAATAAATGCGATCAGTACACAAAATTTTTCTTCATAATTAAAATTCAGTTTATGCAAATGATAAATTAGAAACATAAAAATTTAATTTAATTAAATTTAATCAAGTTGCCAAAATAAATAAATATATATATTGATACTTCCACCTTTTGAAGAAAATGCGGAAAGAGCGTCAATTCCTTTGTCCGAGTCAAAACCTTCATTTAAATGCTCATATTTCATTTTGTGGACTTTGCAGCTAGTGATGCTATAGATAGAATGATGGTCAGATAATTAGGGATTGACTGAGGCTTTATAAGGATGCCTCAAAGACAAACAGGAAGCCGAGGTATGGCTTTTTGTGACGTGATTTCAAGTGATCATTTATGGTAACTTACCCGTGAAAGGGTTAAACTATTAATACCGTCAACCGGGGCTACTCGGGACAGATTTGAACGATTAGTTTTAAATAACAGTTAATAACTTCTTAAGATGAAACATTTCATAAACAAGTTTAGTCTCATTTTATAGCTGATTGGCAGGGCTATCGAATGGCGTTGTCAAAAAAATTCCATATGCTATTCGTAAGGTGCCAGACGCAAAATAGAGATTGTCCCGAGTAGCCCCGTCGGTTGGGGCTACTCGGGACAACGGGAATAAAACTTCATTTCAACACGCCACTTTTAAGAAAATTTGATATTTATTAAAACGTCATAGGAACACTTGAATAGCCAGCCAGATATGAAAGAGCGATGACAAGTGAGGTAATAATTTAGAATTTAACAACATTTCTTGTCATCGTTGAAATTTGTTCATGGACGCAACCAAGTTCTGATAACTGAAGTCCAAGATAAAATAAAATGCGGTAAAAATGGAAATTTTAAAAATATCATAACTAATAAAATAATTTCATTAAATTTCCTAGCAAACTCCATGATGTGATTCAATGAAAGCCCAAAATAAAAGTATTGGGAAGATGATTCACGCGTCATTGCCAGGTCCGTAGCACCGGTTTTGTACTTCCTGTTAGGATAATGACGAAAACTAAGCGCATTGAAACAAAGTAAAGTTCAATGAAGATAAGTCATTTCAGAATAATTTATACGCTATACGCCTCTACCATATAACCTCACGAGATAGCGATCTGCACTACTACATGTCCGATACTCAAGCGATTTCAAGATGGCGACACTAATGCACGTCCTTAAGTGGCCAAGCCATTTGGCTTTTCTTTGACCTCACGACTCCCTATGATGACCTCGATCGAGGGCTCGCGTGCACGAGACGGCCCTCATACAAACCCTCGCTCTTGATGTGGCTTTCTGCATATAATCAATTGAATCAATAATAATATCAATAATTTGTAGTCTAACCAAATTAAATTATTCACATTCAATTATTCGACTGACGTAAGTACGGATATTTCTCTCTGTTCAAATCATTTTAAGTACATAAAAAGCCTGAAGGTAGCCGGTTTCATTTAAACATCAACAAAGCAGTCTTCATAAAAGCTCCAGATCAAAGAACTCGAGCACGGAATTTTCTGATTTTCTGGCAGTTCTACGACAACCGCGAGATTTCCTGACAGAGATTTCAAGAATATGCTTCGTAAACAAAACAAAAACATTTTCAAAAGCGCCCAACAAATAAAACTGGCTATAGTTGCATAGATTCCATTATCACGCCAACACAAATTATGCATTTCAAATAAGAATGCAGGGAAACGAAAAAGGTCTGGCACGCTCGAGACGAGAGCAGACTGGGGAATATAATCGATGTCGCAACACGCTAGGCAGGCGCACGAAATAAGCGATCGCCGTGAATGGAGAGCAAATTATCACTCAATTGCAGTCCAAACTTGACTGCAATAGTTACGGCTTGTCTAGAACAAAGGCACGTGTGTTTTGCTGACTTTAGCAAGGCGTGAAGGCCAATGTGTCACTGAGAAATAAAGTGTGTGTTTACTTCTGGGATACATCCAACTATTTATCAATGTAGAAACTAAAACTACTCGAAGTGTGCAAGTATTATAGAGAACGCTCTGAAATTTTCCTTGAAATTACACCGCAAGCAATAATAACGAACGTCTAGAGTCATACATCGTAATTAGATACCTCGACATATGAAGCAAGTCGGGTTTATTCATAGTAAATCAGGGAGCCTTCAGGCGGCAAAAATGGTCGCCACATGCGGCAGCAGCGAATTTTAGTTTCGTCTAAAACTCGTGAGCGGGCGAGCTCCCGAAAACGTGGCAGTCCAATGCATTTATTTAAAATTTCCGAGACGAAGACCATAAAAATTTGCTCTGGTCCGCTGCACTGAACTCAAAAGCGCGGGAAAAACAAAAAACTAAGGCACGATTTGCATAACATCCGCGCGAGAGTACGAACAGATTAAGCAGATTAGTTCTTTCGTACATTTTCTTGGGGAATAGTGCGAAAATATGAACGATTTTT